CGTTCCGGATTGTTCGCGGCCAGGGTTGCTCATTAAGAGCAGAGGATTTCTTTGAGTTCGCCCGTGCAAACCAACTACGCGGCCATGCATTTAAAGTCGGGAATGAGCGAACACGTTTAGACCGACGAAAATTTTCTTTCAGCCAGCGCGTTGTCAGGCCGTGGAACTCGCTTCCAAGCGAGATGGTGACGGCTGACACAGTTTGTGTGTTTAAAAGAAAACTTGCTCGCCTAGTTTTCGACAGAAATCGGCTTGTACAGCATGACTATGCACAGCCAGTTTTGTAAAATCTGTCATATACAATCTTCCGCACTAATTTACAGTGACCCCATGCACTACCTTATGATTACGATTGAACTGTGACCCAATCACATTTTAAATGCCTGCAATTGTTTTTGAGTATGAATCTGCGAAAGCACTGTACATAAATAGGGTCATCAAGGGCTCTGCCTGTAACCCTTCAATATACATACATACATACATACATATATTCTCTTGATGCTGAGATATTTAAACGCAACAACATGCCTGGTATGCAAACACCCCTACCGACTGCTCCATCAACCCCTAACAGGCCTAAACATGGGCTTAAGTCAAAAGCGAATCCGAGTGCCATTTAGCCCCTCTAATACCGGATAAAGACAGCTCTAATATGAAATGTTTTCTTTCTCAATAACCCACCAATGCCTCAAACACCGCGGCCCAAAACCTAGCGTGTTTCCAAGTACCCCAGCTCTCACATCGAGGCGGCTAGGCCGAATATGCCGACATTCCCGCCTTTAAATGAAACTACTGCCCTAATGGAAGCAGTGCGTCCGCCATCGGCAATCACTTTTTATCCACTGCCATTCTACCAATGCATTCCTCATGCTAATGTCCATAGTGGGTCAGTTTAATCATACGATCCTCAGTTTCGTTGCGGCAGAAATACGTTGCAATATCTGGCCCGTGGATTGCCCACAGAAAATAAGCCAGTTTCCCTTGTCCGACATTACCTCCCCAAATCCCACTCCTTTTCGTTCGCGTCAGGATCTTTTGATGCTGTGAAATATTTTCAGAACGGGACAGTTGCATCCGGACCGTGTATTCCGTGGACAGTCAACTAACGCACGACGTAGTCCACCTCTCTCAGAAACTGACAGTATTTCCCAATAAACTATTTTTTCTCAATGTCAGATCGTTGTCAAATAAGATGCTTCTGCTTAAGACTGGTGATCGCCCATTGTCAAGATATTGTTTTAGTAACTGAGACATGGGTATTAACTTCCGTAGCTAATTTTGACCTCTCTCGCGTAGGCTATAATTGCATTCGGAATGACCATCAAGACAGCCGTGGTGGGGGCAGTGGCATCTATATTAAGCAAACACTTATATTTCTTCCGCCGGACCTTCCTCATTTTTCCGCGATAGAAGAAAGCTGCTGACTCCAGGTTGCCCTAAAAATAAGTTCTCCTTATTCGTTGGCTCTGTTTATCGCCCATCTCAACACCAGTGAGTATTTTGATCGTTCATTCTTACTGGAATTTTATGCTGCGGCCGACATATGATTTAAGTATTTATTGGTTACGGGTGATTTCAATCTTAATGAAGTCCTCTGGTCTCCGTCTTCCGGCTCCAAACAGTCGGATAATTTCTTGAGGCCGTGGATACTGGGATGTGGAATCAGGTTGTTAATTTTCGTACCAGAGGATAAAACATACTTTACTTAATCTTCTCTAGAGGTTGCGTGTCTATATCAGTGCTTTCCCTAGTTCCGCTCGGGGCTTCAGATTTGTTTCAAAGTTAGAACTCGAGGCTAACAAAACCCTGTCCCCAAAGAATACCTTTGTTCTCAACTTCCGGTCAGCTCACACGACCGAATTACTAACACAGCTTAATTCCAACGATTAGACTGACTTCTTCATAATTTCCGATGTAAATGGTTGCACTATTAATCTGTGCGAAATTATGGGTCCGCTTATTTCTCGTTTTGTAAACCGTAAGAAAATAATTTATGCCGGGGTGAGGGTTTTCTACCCTTACCGTCGCCGTCTTGCTTCTGCTCTCGAGTTGCGCCATTTTTGAGCTGGCTAAGAGATTTTCCGAAGATAAACAGCCAGACGATGAGGTAAAACTCACTGCAAACTGTTCGTGAAATATATCGAAACGTTTATTCCAAGAAGCAGGAATTCACGAAAAAATTCAACATCCAACCCTCCGAGACGCTCTCGGGAATCCTGTAGCTAATGTCCAGCTGACCGCTGACATTTTCAATGATTTGCTGTCCAAAAGTTTCATTAAAAAGTCGATCATTCCGCTTCCCACCATCCAGGCATTGACGGACGCCGCTTTCCAAACAATAACTTTTACTCTGTGGGATTTGATTGTTGCGATTCGGCGTTTTCGTCAGTCGTTTAGTCCAGCCCCTGATGGAGTCCCAGAAAGCATTTTAAAAGCCGATGCAATTACGATTTTCCCATCCATCTTATTTAAGATATTTAATCGCGCTCTTTAAAGTGAAACTTGCCCTACCTTATGGAGGGAATCACACATTTTACTCATTCCTAAGCATGGCAAATCTATGTCATTTGATGACTTTCGGCCAATAAACACCCTCCCCGCATTTTCAAATATCTGAGAGGCATTTATCAAAGAGCAGATGATGTGTCATCAGACAGAGAATAACCTACTGAGCGCTGCACAGCATGGATTCCTCAAAGTCCAGTCTTGTGACACCTGTCAGCTTTCTTTCGTTAAGCATTTTCCCAAATCTGGGGACAGTGATTTTGCATTTTACTAAATCTATTTGATTTCACTAAGGCTTTTGATCTCGTTAAGAATGTTCTTATTCTCTTGAGACTGTCCTTCTTCGACTTAGGTAGCAAACTTTTGAATTTTATATCCTCTTACCTGGTGTTCTTACACAACGAGTTATGATTCCCAATGCTATCTCAAACCCCACACGTGTTAGAAGGAGAGTCATTCAGGGTAGTGCCGTCGGCGCACTATTATTTTGCCTTATTGTTAACGGTGTATCAAATTCACTTCAGAATGGTAAGCCCTTAATGTACGCCGATGATCTAAAAGCTGAATACACGTATAAGCTGACAGATCGTGACATCGTGCTCGAGCTCCTAAAGAGCGACAGATAGGCTTTTGTCCAGTGGTGCTGTATATGGCGCAACTCTCTATCTGGGCATAAGTGGTCAGTCATGGTGGTAAGCGATGACCATCAACTTCAAACATGTATTGACGGAAGCGACATAAATATGCTTGGGCTTATTAAGGATCTGGGTGTATCGCAATCCAAGCGTCTTAATCTTTCGGAAAATTATGTTCTGATAGTCTGCAAGGCACGTAAAAACGACCGGGTTCATCCCTGCCAGCACCAGCCCCGCCTAGCCGCGCCTGGCCCCCTCAATAATGGCGGGGCTAGAGGGGGCCATGAGGGGGCTAGGCGGGGCTGTGGAGGGGGCTGTGGCGGGGCATGCAACGCGATAGCCCCGCCTAGCCCCGTCAGCGAAAAAAAATGCGCAGGGGTCGCCACATCCCCGCCCACTTTTGGCACCACTTTAAAATATCGTCCTGTATAACGAGTCCCCTGAGGCGCAGTGCCTCACTGTTCCCACAGGTTACACGTCGGAACCCACCCTGCGTACGTAGAGTACTACGGTATTACATTGTACTCACAGTGACCCCGCCGTACACGTGCCCACTAATCGACAGTCAATATCAAATACACGCGACGCAAATTCATGTGAATGAGTTATTTGTTGTATAAACGAAAAAGGAATTGGAAAATATGTACAATCATAATAAATGTCAGTGCTAGTATATACATGGACTTCAACATATGTCATGCCATTCAGTTGTGCGTTCCAAAATTCCCCGCTTAGACGGCTGGTGCTTCAGTGATAGCCAGAGTAATTACGCTTCATAATTGCTTTGGACATTCAGTAAAAAACGATAAACAATTTTTATAAGTGGACTATGAACACCAAGGCTAAATACTACATACATAGACATACAACTCGACTACTTGAACTGGCTGGTGAGTAGATACCTAAACAATTAGCATAATATACTTAAATGAACTAAGACAGCTATCGACAGTTCGACCATCGGTTTCGATGATGTCCACCGTGTGCCCCACAGTTGCAGCAGCAATGGGAGCAGGGACGGTGACTTACGCTAGGGGTTTATAGTGCCGGTAGACTTGCGTAGCATCTACCTACAATCTCTCCTCCTCCCTCGCCCGAGCCCGGTGTCAAGACAGAGTCAAGAAGACCGGAGACGAGAGAGGCCGCAGGTGGATGGCTCGGACGGATCCTCACCTTGGCGTTCCACCCCAACCCTGGTCAACACAACAAATAACCAGGATTTAAACCAACACAAGAGAGATTTGGAGGCTGGCACGACCGAAGCCGCACCTGGGCGTGCCGCCAACGCCTGGCTCGGATCCCACACTGTGATAGGAGTGCCATAAAGGCCAAATTAAAAAGGAGTCATTGCAGCCTGACTCTCAGACCGCCTCCGGCCAAGGAGGAGGTACAAGGTACCCCGTCAGTTGGCAACCTTCCAAGCCACGGCTTTTAGCGTACCGTGATAGCTTCAAGCGCGTCAGATTGTTTATAGTGAGGAGAAAGTCCGCTGAGTCGTCGACCTCACTCTATCTTCCCACTCCCACACCCCAGCCGCTGTCCGAGCCGGTCAGCAGACTGAAGTGGGGAATGGGCGCGGTGGTTGTCATGGTCGACTGACCATGACTGCGCGCGCCACGGCACGACCTAGCCCCCATACACACAACACCAGGATTTCAAACAACGGGGGTTGAACGGCGTGTCTCTCACTTGCGTGAGAATGCCGTGGAAGGTGCGGTTTCAGCCCGTTCCCAGCCCACCAGTTCGCCACTCCACAGAACACACACACAACGCGACGAACTGCGTGAACCGAGAGCGGGCGTCAATCAGCGACCTTCCTATCCACGACGTTTGACGTGTCGGGATAGTCTCGGACTCAAGTCACCCGTGCAGCCGAAGCCGCATGGGGACCGAGTCGAGATGCGGACTTCCACTTGCGTGGGAGGTGGCAGTTGGGTGCATGAGGTGTGTGAGTGTTGATTTCTGGTGGGGTGATGGTGGTGGTGGAGAAGGTAGGGAGTGAGTGAATGTGTGGTGCGGCCTGCGGTTGTCTACCGCAGGTCGTCGTGGATGCGCATGTGGCCGAATAGGCTCATGCGATGCCTGAAAGTGCGAGGACAGTGTGGGCAGTTGAGATGAGCTTGGTGGGTATAGGTGGGCTCCAGGCACTGGTTCGCCAGTCTCTGTGCGATGGATTCGCAAGTGACCGACCAGGCCGATGCGTGAGGTGAATGTGCGTGGACAGTGTGGGCATGAGAAGTCGGAGGTGTCAGTGTCAGCTACAGAGGAGGCGGTGGTGGTGGTGTCGCGGACGGATGGAACGAGAGTGGGGGTGTGCACGGTGGATGTGTTGGATGTAGTGGGTGTGTCGGGAGTGCGGTCAATGCCGCTCTTGTGGATGCGCATGTGGCCGAAAAGGCCCATGCGATGCCTGAAGGTGCGAGGGCAGTGTGGGCAGTGGAGGCGAGTGCGGTGGGTGTAGGTTGGTGCTTCACGCACTGGTTCGTCAGGCTCTGTGCGATGGATTCGCAAGTGACCGACCAGGCCGATGTGTGAGGTGAAGGTACGGTCGCAGTGAGGGCAGGTGTAGTCCTGATCCTCATCCCTGGAGTCGGGAGAGGTGGTGGTAATGTCGATTACTGCGCGTGGGACAGTCGTCTGAGCGGCCGCCGTTGGAGCAGTGGGCGAAGAGGAGGAGTAGGAGGAGGAGGAGGAGGATGATGAGAAGGAAGAGGATGATGGAAGTGGTGGGTCAGAAGAATTGTCAGGGTTAGTTGGCGGCGGAGAGGAGGAGGAGGAGGAGGAGGAAGAGGCAGGCGGGGGGACGATGGTTGGTGCCGTTCGAGAGGCGCAGTTAATCCGAAGATGTCCAACAAGTCCGATTCGAGCCCGGAATGTCCGTTGACATCGAGGACACGTTGGAAGCGGTTGTGCGGCGGCGTTGCTTTGATGGGCGAAGTTGCGATTTGCGGGCTTCACATTTCGCTTTGGCGGCAGCGATGCGGTTGGCGTCGTAGATCGCAACGCCTGTCTTCACTGTCCTCCTCCAGGTCGGTCGATCGAGTGCGAGCTCCTCCCAGTTGGTGGGATTGATTTGCAGGCATTTCAGGGAGGACTTCAGGGTATCCTTGTAACGGCGAATCTGGCTTCCTTGACGGCGAGAACACGTCGCGACGTCTCCGTAGAAGAGTCGTTTGGGTAGTCGCTCGTCGTCCATGCGCACCAGGTGGCCGCTCCAGCGCAGCTGAATTTGCCTCAGTATGGCGTAGATGCTGAGGATTCCCGTCCGTTCCAGCACATCAGTGTCGGGGATTCGATCCTGCCAGTTCAGCCTCAGGATGCGACGAAGACAACTGAGGTGGAAGTGGTTCAGACGACGTGCCTGTTTTGCGTACACCGTCCAAGTCTCCGCTCCATACAGTAGCGTCGGCAGGATGACGGCCTTGTACATCTTAAGCTTCGTGCTCAGTTGGAGACCGTGGCGATTCCAAACTGTGTTTTGGAGGCGACCGAAGGCTTGACTGGCTTTCGAGATCCTGTTGGCGACTTCTTCGTCGATCTTGGTGTTGCGGGAGAGAGTACTACCCAGGTAAGGGAAGTTCTCCACCACTTGCAGTTGGGTCCCATTCACGCTGATTTGCGGCGGCGCGTTGGGGGCTGTGGCCGAGTGGGGTGGCGGTTGGTGCATCACAAGCGTCTTCTGTGTGTTGATGACCAGACCGAAGTTCTCGCAGGCGGCGGAGAACAGGTCCATGCTCCGTTGCATCTCCTCTTCCGAGGTGGTGTTCAGGGCGCAGTCGTCGGCGAAGAGGAGTTCGTGCACGCTGGTTGTGGATACGCGCGATTTGAAGTGCATCCGCCGTTGATTCAGGAGGTGACCAACCGTCCTGTAGGCGATGCGGATCCCGGGGCGTTCGTCGCGGTAGGCGTCCATCAGCATGGCAGAGAACATAAGACTGAAGAGGGTAGGCGCCAGTCCGCAGCCTTGCTTCACTCCATTGGTCACTGCGAATGCCTCTGAGACAGCTCCGTTGTCCGTGACTCGCGCCATCATACCGTCGTGCAGCTGACGCACAATATGAGTGAATCGCTCCGGACAGCCGAATTTCTGCATGATCTTCCACAGTCCTTCACGATTCACCGTGTCGAAGGCTTTCGTCAGGTCCACGAAGGTAGAGTACAGGTGGGTCCGCACCAGAAATGTTAATTATTCCAATTTTTTAGCTCATGCATCGTGCCCTCACAGAATGCACGCCATCGACGCTCTTGGCGAAACCTTCTGTATTCGCCATATACTAGTAGTTTGGTCGCATCTCCCTTCCCCCATCCTCGGT